AGGTAATAAGTAAGTGTTACTCATCTCTCAATCCCCAGCAGCCAGTATAATATAAGCAGAGAGATGACCCCTTACAAATGTTGTTGGAAAGATAGAGTGCTACACAGGGAGATAAATTCAGGGCAAATTTCTTCAAATTATTCTTCATCCTATAACCTGTAAGATGTAGCTTTGGTGAGTTTAAGTGCTAAGAAGTTGTACTGCTAATCCAGAGGCATATGGTTCGAATCTACTAACTGTTCTGAGGTAAAAACATAGGGAATCTCCTCATGTGTGATCTACTGCCTTTGGAAACCTGCTGGAGGATCTATGAGTTGGGTTTTGCTCGATGGTACCTAAGAATTTGTCATACAAAATCCCCAGTCAACTCACTTTTAAAAAGGACTGGTATGGTGGTTAAGGGCCTAGACTCAGGATCGCAATTGTCTGGGTTCATATTCCAGAGTCACTACCAGCCATCTGACCTGGGCCAAGTTTGACCCTGTGCCTAGGTTTCCTCATCTCTCCAGTAAGGTAGCAAACAGTACCTGCCCCACAGGACTGCGGTGAGGAGTAAATGTATGTAATAATTATTACATGAGTTAACATGCACTGTCTGGCACAGATTAAGTGCTTAACAAATGCCAACTGTAATCGAGCACAAGGCTGGGGTTGTGAGTGGTCAATCCAGAAAGCCGAGATCCCTGGACAGTAGCTGATATGAAAAGTCACCATCTTCGGAAGATGGTCACACTATTAGCTCTGACTCCAACACCGCTTGCTGTGTGACCTGGAGCCACAGGTCTGTGAGGAGCTGGAAGAGTTTTAATAAATAATTCAGCTCTGACTCCTTACTCTACAGATGGAGATATCCACTCCTAAATCCATGTCTCATTTCAACTGTAAAAGAGAATACAATGGTCTTTATAGAGCCACTCTAAAAGTCAAATCGAATATGACAACTTGGAGAAAAATGTATGGATGTGATAGTATGATTGTAAATTCCTGTTTTGTTAGGACCCCCTAACTAGAGAGGATTTTTCAAGCTATCTCAATTATACCACTGTTACCAAAGATCAAACCCAGAAGAGCCTCTTTGGCTCAGAGATCATCACTTAAAAATAGGCAAATCTTTCTGCAATGATTGGATCAGAATTTCCCTACGTCTGACTTTTTTTCCCTTCTACAAATCTTTCATGTTTTCTCACTTCCTATGTGACTTGCCACAACTATAACGCTGTACCTTTGCCTTACTGTATTCGTCAGTAAACTGCTAAGACATGCACCTAACCTAACCCAAGAGAGTTCATGATGAGTCAATTTATAATTATGAATAATGGTAATATAATTATGATAATAATTAACTAAGTTCACTGTTCCCTAACAAATCAGAATTCCTTACATATATAGTTTATGGCATTTCACAGAACTATGTATATATTTCTATTAACATCATCAGTCACAGATCATTGGTAAAAACAGATTAATTCTACTTATTTGGATATCATCATCTTCAATGTAATAAATGGTCTATACGGGGTGGGGCATAAGGCATAAGTAAGCAATAATAATGAAAGAAATCTTAAAGAGGATATAACAGACAGTAAGGGGAAACCCAATTTAAATTTATATATAAACGGAAGTGGATGCCCCAAATAAATGAGGGGCCAGGAATTCCCCCTGGCCAAAACAGATTTGCTGAAAGTCTTTCCATCTCATAGTGACCCCATATGCATCAGAGTCAGGTTAAATGTGTGTGAACATACCCTCAAGAAGTATGACTTCCTCATTTCTAGTTGAAAAAGGTGATACTATATCTTATCATTCAGGTATAAAAGTCTTGCATCATCTTTGAATCTTCCCTTGCTTTTGTGTTCTTTGACATTAAAAACCGTAAATTTTGTGGTTTCATTCTTAGAAGTATCTTTTGATTCTGTCCTTCTTATATATTTACTATCAACATCTTTCCCTACTTGGATGAGCCTAGGAATGTTTAAGGTGGTGTCTCCTTTCTCCATCACAAATACTTGATATCAGATTAGGCTTCCAAAAATATACTCATCAAGACCCCTTTGCGCCTTCAGAACCAGATACAATGACTCCTCCCACATTTAATACTCTTAATATACCTGTCTTCTGCTCAGAATGTACCTTCTTTTACTATATTCCTCTGCAGGTCACAACTAAGCCCAGAGGAGCTGATTTTTATTGAGTTACCATAGAATTTTAGGAATCAAATTACTTATAAATATTGCATCAAGTTTTAAATGAAAGGAACATCCAATTATTGTAAACTCAGTTTTTAAAATTCAATAAAACGGCTGCTAAAATAATGCATACTACTATTATCTAAAGCTTGAAAGCTTGAATCAATCTCTTTTTTTTGGGCATATTTGATAAACTGCCAGATAACCAACTTCTGGTTTTAAATGTTCTGCTACTTTAGAAGAAATTAGTACATTTATAAAATGGAGAAGTATGAAGCATTGAAAAAACAATGAAGAACTTATAAAACACTGCATAACATGCATAAATCTAGAGGATATTATGCTGAGTGAAAGGAGACAGTTACAAAAGGGCCAATATTGTATGAGACTGCTATTATAAAAAGCTACAGAAAGGTTTACCCTGAAAAATCAAACAAGTAGGCTTACCAGAAAAGGGTGAAGAAGAAAATTAATTATATAGATTTGCTACTGTTGTTGTGTACTGTCGAGTCAGTACACTGACCCACTGGTGGGTTTTCAGAGGCAAGAAATCGCATGGAAGGAGACTGCCCATCCTTCTCCTACAGAGCTGCATGCCTTTGGGATTGTAGCACAGGTTCTTACCACTAGGCCACCAGAGCTCCCTAATAGTGAATATTATTGGTATGGGTGAAGAGAATGACAAATATGGAATTAACAGGTGATCAGATACTGAATGGACAATCGTGGTCATTGATCAGATACTGAACAGACAATACTATGGGTATTGTAATTAACGTTATAGAAAAAAGAATGCATGTGTGATTGAGTGAAAAAATAATTATTCTTTGTAAACTTCTACTCATATCATAATTTTAACAAAAAACAATGTACTAGTACTCTTAGTAGGATACTTTAACACCTTAACAAGTTTGTGATCTAAATAAGGAATTCATTTTCTGGGCGAGCCAGCCCTTCAGTTGAAGTGTTGCTCCTGTTTCTGTCAACCTTGTCACCTATTTCCCAGTCATTTCATTTATTTGCCTTCATTGATACACAAATATTTATTGAATGCAGATAACGTGTCATCTTTACTGAGCTCTGGAATAACAATGGTTGTTGTTTTTATGTGCAGTCAAGTTGCCTGAGACTCATAGCGACCGTATGTGTAAGAGCTCTGAATCCTGTCCTGTCCTGAATCAGTCTCACTGACTCCAAGACACCTAATCCCACTGCCCCAGTTACTGCATCAAATCCATCTCATCTGGGGTCTTTCTCCCTTGCACTGTCCCTCTACCCTTCCAAGTGTGATGTCTTTCTCCAAGGACTGGTCCCTCCTGGCCACCTGCCCAAAGTATGTGAGACAGAGCTTCAAAATCCTTGCCTCCAAGGATAAATTTTATTTCATCGTCTCTATGACAGACATATTTGTTCTCCTGGCAGTTCATGATATATTCAATACTCTTCCCCAATACCCAATTCAAAGGCATCAATTCTTCATCTGTCTTCCTTATTCACTGTCCAGCTCCCTAATGCAGAGCAAGTAACTTCAAAGACCATGGCCTGGATCCAGCCCACCCTTGTCTCTAGGCTGACAGGATTGCTCTTTAGAACTTTGGAGAGGTCCCTGACAGCAGACTTCCCCAATGCAATTCATTTCTTTTGATGCACTAAGAGTAGATAGAAAACTGTTTACCTCTCATTGTCTCTCCTGGATCAGTTCAGTAAACTGGTGAGTAATGGCTGCTCTTTTGGAAGGAGTAGTGGCATCCACTTCCTAAATAACATGCCTCCGGAAACTCTATGAACTTTGATAAATGTCAATAGCTGTAGAGGGGCTTGAGGTCTTTTGTACATAGGGTTGCTATGAGTCATGCTCGACTCGAAGGCAATCAACAATAATAACAACAACAACAACACAATGGCTGCTCTCCGTCTCTTCCCACCCACTCAGCTATCATATCCAGTTCCACCTCAGACAGGCTTCCTATTCCTTCTCTACCCCCTGTAGGCCATGTTACAAACACAGGAACCTGGTGGATCTACCTTGGTCACATAAGAACAAGGTCGAGAACTAGACTCACTGCTTGGTTAAAACCAATGAGCCTACTGGACAGAGAAAAGAGATGAATATAAACTAATAGGAAATGAAAGACGAATCCATCAGCTCTCTGGGTTTCAGGAGGAAACAGGAATGCTAATTCACAGAGCCATTCTTGTTGCTGGTCCTTGTTATCATGTTGACTCTGATTCGTGGTGCCTTACTGTGTGTAGAGTTGAACTGCTCCAGAGGATTTCTAAGGGGGTGACTTTTGGAAAGCAAAGGTGTCTCTGGGTGAATTCAAACTCATAGTGGAGTGCTTAACCATTTGTATTATTCAAGGTCTCCACATTTATGGCTACCTATTGCTACTACATCCCTTCCCAGAACTTTGTTAAGAAGGCAAGTTATACTGTTGTTCTCCCCACTCTAAATTCCTCCTCATTCAGAGAATGACAGGGGACTGAAAAGTAATTCTTTTTTTAAATTTTATTATTTGTGTGTGTGTGTGTACCGTCAAATCAGATCTGACTGGTACAGGAGGATATTGTCCCTCTTTCCCCGGCAGAGCGTCTGGTGGATTCGAACCGTGCACCTCTGGGATTGTAGTTGCAGCTCCTTGCCACTAGGCCACCAGAGCTCCCCTAGAAAAGTAATTCTTTTCTAGAGAAAAGAGAGGGAAACTTTGCCACAAACTGCCATCTAATTCTTTCTCATAAACCATTAATTTCTACTGGTCTCTCATCACTTTGGACATTTGGCATTTCAAGACAATCAATTTACAGAATACTCACCAAGCACCAAAAGAAAGAACACAGCTTTCAGATCTGAAGATTCAATTTCATAATTATCTTCATCCGATAAGGTTAAATTCATGATGGTAAGTGCACCTGTTGTAGTGTTTAAGGAAACTCTACCCTTAAACGGTGGAAACTCCTCATACAGAGAAGAGCCTTCATACCATTCCACAACTTTATTTCTACCTTTTTTCCAAGTTATTTCTTTAAAAACTGTATCAGATGATGGATGGAGAGTTATATCCTTGTTCACAACTCCAAATACCTCTATGCCATTACCGTTGATAAATTCTAGGAAAGAAAAAAAAGAGGGAGGAAAAACATGAGTTTATTGATAAAATCCATCTTCTATGAATGATACTCTTCAGGGAAAAAAAGAAGAAAAACTTTAATTTAGTAGTCAAAAGGCTTTACCAGTAACTTTATGTATGTACTAAGTTGATGAATTGCTAACAAAAAATATAAGAAACAGAACAACCTTGGTCAGGGAGAATTTATTCTTTAGAAGGGATTTTAGGCCTTTGGTTGCTGACATTGTTGTTAGGTGTTGTTGAGTCAACCACGGCAGCTCATGGTGACCCTAAGAACAACTGATTTGAACCTTACCCTGCTCCCTTCTCACCATCTCGGGTCTGCTCGAGCTCACTGTTACACTGTGTCAATCCATTTTATTGAGTCTCCCTCTCTTTCTATGACCGTCCATCTATCCCAACATGATGTCTTTTTCTAAGGACCAGATCCTTAAAACCCGACAAATTGATTCAACATTTATAGAAGCCAACCATGTACAGGGACTGTGGCCAATGCACTGAATACGGCTGCAAATAGCACAAGCATAATTGCAGGCTCCCAACAGGTTAAAGCTCCTGTAGGAGACTCCGAGGAAGTCACACATCAGAGCAACAGTAAGGGAAGCACTCAGTCAAGGAGTGAGGAAGCTCCCATCCCTCTAAATCAGCGCAGAATCTGAAAGGAAGCAGTGCTGAAAATTGTACAGAAGGATAAAATTAGAAAGGGTTACCAGGTAAGAGGTGGCTGATGGGAGTAAGGTATAGGATAAACATACAGATAAAAGGAAACAATACTTCTAAAGGCCCTAAATCAAGAAAGTTCTGGTGTGTGTGAAGTGGACCCCTAGTGGTTCCTAGTGGCTAGAGTGGAGAGCACAGTGGGGTGGTTGGTGGAAAATCAGGCTGGAGAGGCACAGGAATCAGATGGCACTTTGAGGCAGTGATAGGGGTGAGGTATTAGGTAAAATAGATTAAGGACTTAAAGGAGTCTCTGGGTGGTGCAAATGCTTAAGTGCTTGGGGTTATTAACTGAAAAGCTCTAGGTTCAAGTCCATCCAAAGGCCTTTCGAAAGATAGGCCTGGGGATCTATTTAAAAAAAACAAAACAAAAACAAAAAAATCCAACTCAAACAAAACACAAGATCATATGGAGACCAATTCTGCTAAACCATATGGTGTCATCAGTACTCAAAATCTATTTAATGGGGATATGGTTTATTTTCTGGGTTTGGTTAGGGTTTATTATATTCTAATTTGGTTAAGGGTTTGAAACCTTATTCTAATAGTCAGGTGAAGCCACAGAAAGGTTTTCTACAAATGACTGACATGCACAAGTTAAGTTTCTGTGTAGAGTTCTGTCTACAGGGTGCAGAGTGGCTGTTAAGCGGAAGCAGAGAAACTGGAATAGAGATCACTGCTTTCCACGAGAGAGTGGTGGCCTAGGCAAGGGTGCTAGCAGTGAGGATGGAAACAAGTAGACAGACTCAAGGGGATAGAGGGTCAATGGTGATTGTCCATGACAAGTCTGCCTTAGTCATTCATTAAGATGAGAACAATGGCTGTGATGCAAGTCAGAGAGTCTGGCAGGATTCAGGGATTTGATGTGGGAGCCAGCTTCAGCGGATGTGCCTGGGCTTACTGTTAGCAAGTCTGCTCAGCTCTACCCCATGAAGGCTGGTTCACAGCTTGGATATCCACCATAGTGAGAGTATTTATAGCACAGAAAGTAGCAAATGTTTCAAATCTGCTTGCCAGTCCCAAGGCAGTTATTAAACATTTATTACCATGACACTTGACTTTCTAATCAAGAGAAAAGCAGCTGCTCAGAGAAGGATGTCAAGGATAAACTGAAACATGATTGATTCTGAAAACTTCTTGGCCAGAACGAAATACCTTGGAAAATAAGTCATGGGGGATGGAGACCTATGACCACAATCTCAGAGACATCTAAGTTAACTGGCATAGCACAGACCACAAAGACAATGTTCTATATTCTACTCTGCTGAGCAATTCTTGAGGTCTTGAAAGCTTGTGAATTGTTGTTGTTGTTTAATGCCGTCGAGTCGTAGACGACTCATAGCAACCCTATGAACGAACAGCCTGAGCACTGTTCGTACATAGAGTTTCCAGAGGCAAGTCATTTTGGAAGTGGATGCCGCTCCTGCTTCCAGGCTTGATTTAGTTACTTAAGGGGCATCTATTAGTTGCTTCTCATACTGAGAAGACTGAAGAAAATCACAGACTCAAAGAAATAGTTCAGTGGACTACAGAACCACATGAAGCACAGCTTAAAGTAACCTGGTACCAGAGGAACCAGACGGGGCCCACTGCTACTACCAACTATTCTCAGAAGGATCGCAGTAAAATAATCTGGGAAAAGAAGGTGAGAACAAACTTAAAATGCCAAAAAGGATTAGGTTGTAAGGTATGCCTCCCTTCAAACACTGTATCATCCACTGTATTTTCAGTCTTCTTATATGTATACATGTGGGTCACTCTGATAGCCTAATCCATAGAGAGTTGTGTGCTACCCCAAAAGTCCCACCACTCTGGCATTTAGTACCCACCAGCAGCAGCATGGGAAATAGATGGGCAATCTTCTCCCATGTGATTTAAAATCTTGAAAACCTGCTAGAAAGTCAGTTGTGAGTCTCTTCCCATGACAATGAGCAATGAACATATGTATGTGAAAGGAGAACAATGAATAAGGAAGGCCAAAGAAAACCTGACACCTTTGCATTGTGGTGGTAAAGAATATTGACTGCATAAGACCACTGTAAGAAGAGTTTTTCTGATTAGATTGGGGGAGGGAAGAAAATGCGCAACAACGAATGAATGAAAATCCAACTTCTCTACAAACCTTCATTAAAATCACAGTAAGATAAAAACCAATATTGATCATTTAAAAAAAAAAACACAAGATCTGATTTACTAGTCTGATTATTGTTGTTGTTGTTAGATGCCACCGAGTTGAGTACGACTCATAGAGACCCTATGAACAAAACATCTGAACACTGTTCTATCCTGCACCATCCTCTCACATCCTGACACACAAGAGCCCACTGCAGCAATCACCATGTCAGTCCACCTGGTTGAGGGTCTTCCTCTCCTTCGCTGATCCTCCATCCTTTCCAGCATCATGTTGTTTCCCAAGGAATAGAACCTCCTAGTAACAATGGCCAAAGTATGTGAGGCGAAACCTTACCACTTTGCCTTCACTAGTCTGATACACACAGGCAAAAGCTGCAAGAATGTGGTCTTTGGCCTTCCTTCAAGCTGAACCTGAACCTAATCCCAGAGATCAATATTAATGCAACAGTAGGTCTATAAAGTGACTAATAGCACCCAAAGGAATGGCCATTTTAGTACAGTCAACCACAGAAAATCAGAAGGGCAGCATTTGCATATAAAGTTCAAGAGGTAAAAAGGGTAAGGACAGATGGGTGAATGGAAAACAAGATGCGTGGGAGAAAGTGGGAAGAATAATGTTACAGAGGACTGCGATGTCACAAAAACACAATGCACATAAACTCTTGGAAGGAAATTCATTCATTTTGTAAACTTTCTCCCAAACTACAATGAAAAATAAAAGGGGGGAAAGCCCAAGAAAATCTGATCGAAGTTTCTGCCTAGTAGCAATCAGGGTAAATTAAAAAACCTAACATGGACTTCGTGACGGAAATGGAGCTGGAGAGAGAATGATCGAATTTTGCACAATGACTTATTCATAACAAATACGTTTTTTTAAGAGACTTAAACAGGTTATACACATGGATTTCACCTGATGGTTTGCAAAGGAATCAGATCGATTACATCTGTGGAAAGAACCGCTGGAGAAGCTCAATATCAGCTGTGAAAACTAGGCCAGGAGCTGATTGTGACACAGACCACCAACTACTCATATGCAAGTTCATGCTGAAGCTGAGGAAAATGAAACCAAATCCACCGGAACCAAGTCATCCCAGGATGACTTTGAGTCTATCCCACCTGAATTTCAGGACCATCTCAGGAACAGGTTTGAGGCTTTGAACACTAATGAGCAAAGACCAGACAAGTTGTGGGAGGACATCAAGGGTATCATCCAGGAAGAGTGCAAATGATCACTGCAAAGACAGAAGAGGAAGAGAAGACCAAAATGGATGTCAAAAGAGACTCTGAAAATTGCACTGGAGTGCAGAGAAGCCAAAGCACAAGGAAGACTTCAAGATACTAAAGAGTTGAATAGAAGATTTCAAAAGGCAGCACGGGATGACAAAGTAAAATATTACAATGAAATACGCAAGGAGTTGGAGTCAGAAAATCAAAAGGTCCAGACTCGCTCAGCATTTCTCAAGCTCAAGGAACTGAAGAACAAATTCAAACCTCGAGGTGCATCAAGGATGCTTTCGGCAGAATATTAAATGATCCAGGAAGTATTAAAAGAAGATGGAAGAAATATACTGAGTCACTGTATCGAAAGGAATTGGAAGACACAGAAGAATTTCATGAAACAACATATGAGCAAGAGCCTATGGTGATGAAAGAAGTTCAGGCTGCTTTGAAGGAAATGGCAAAAAAAATAAGGCTCCAGGAATAGATGGTATACCCACTGACATATTTCAGCTAACAGATGCTGCCCTGGACGTGCTCACTAAGTTGTGCCAAGAAATCTGGAGAACAACCACTTGGCCAACTGACTGGAAGAGATCTGTATTTGTTGCCATCCCAAAGAAAGGTGACCCAACAGAGTGTGGAAACTATAGAACAATATCGTTGATTTCACATGCAAGCAAGATTCTACTGAAGATTATCCAAAAATGACTGGAACAGCACATCAGCAGAGAACTGCCAGAAGTCCAGTCTGGGTTTAGAAGGGGTCGTGGTACTAGGGATATTGTAGCTGATGTTAGATGGATCTTAGCTTAAAGCAGTTAACCTATACTTGGACCAGGAGACAGCTGTCAGAACAGAGCAAAGGAACACTGCATGGTTCAAAATTGGGAAGGGTGTATGCCCGGGATGTGTCCTATCTCCATACATTTTCAACCTGTATGCAGAACAGATTATCCATATTGGAGGCTGTAGTCCTTGACCCTCTGCAACAAGCGCTTCAGGTCCTCCACAGTTTCAGGAAGCAGGGTTGTGTCATCTGCATAACGCAGATTGTTGATAGATCTTCCACCAATCCTGACGGCACATTTCTCCTCATAGAGCCCAGCCTCCCGGATATCCACATATCACAATGAAGGAGTACAACGGGTTATGCATATGAATGAACATATAGTAGCAAGGTATGTGTGGGAGGAGGGTAGGTATTATGATGAGTGGTCACTCCCTGGCTGCATAAAGATGGCTC